TGGAATACTCCCACTGTAAACCATTTTCAATGAAGGTCTTTGATTTGGCATCTTCACTTTTTTCATTCAGTATGAAGTTTCCAGTTACTTGATTCTTCACAGCTGTCAGTAATGAAGAAACAGATATTTTATGGAGGCAGAGGGAAGTCCAAGGGAAGGGATGTACAAATTCAAAGTTGGGATTAATCCATTCCCATCACAGAAAGTTTGCTCTAAGCAGAGAATGTGTCAATATGCCATTGTGGCTTTCTGACACCAGTTCTTCCAACTTGTGTTTTGTTTTGTCAGAGGAGAGACGAGTGGCCCAAAAAGGAAGATGGTTGGCTTGGCTGAAAGCTGTTTGAACCTGACTCATCAGTCACCCCAAAGCTCATACTAGGATAAAAAAAAAAGATCACTCTGTTATTTTGTCTCCATAACTGAAGACATTTCAGAGTGTCCTCCTTTTTCACATACAGCTTCACACTGTAAACTGCACGCAAGCAATTTGAAAGTCATTCGCTTTGAAGTAAGGCATAAAAAAACATCTGCTGTTTTCACATCACTGGAGTTGCACCTACGATGTGACCTGTCAGCTGTGCTAATTGCACTTTATATTTCACTATAAGAAATACACTTTTCCTGCCAAAGTTTATCTATAATGTAGTGTCTGATCCTCCTCTTAACATATATTAATGTCAGTAAAGCTGAGTCTCCTGCCATTCTCTTTAATGTCATATTTAATTTTAAAATGTACATTTCGAAACATCAAATGGGCTTTTAAAACTCCAAAATTTGCTCTTCAAAGTTTGAAGTTTGCTCTTTCAAAAATGTGGAGTCAAGATCTTTAATCTCTAAGGCAGTTGATGTCAAAACATTGTTTATAAAAATGTAAAAAAAAAAAAAAAACTTTAAAGAGAAACATCTCAAACTCCTCCTGAGGTTCACTAAACATAGTCCCTAAAAATGGATAAACATGCTATTTCATGTGGTAGGCTACAGAAGCAGAGGGCAAAACAGAAGCAGGATATTTACAAATGGGGAAACAACAGTAAAACCAACTCCCTAACTATGCTCTCATTACACTTGTGCCACCAAAACATATCTGAGTCACAAGATCACCAGCACATGAACTATGGGGTGTCCTGTTGTGTCTGGTACCAGGAAGTTGGAAGCAGATGCTTGACTAGACAGAGAATCCAAAGAGTCTGAGGCTGGTACAGCATCATTGGCTTCTTATTGTGTTTTCTGAGCAGTTCCTGAGCAATTTGTGGTGGGGTGTGCATGCTATAGGAAGCTATATGAATTATTATTATAACATTTTGTAGTTCCTGATGCATAAGTGTTATTAAACTTGCACAAACAAAAATAAAGTCCTTCTTCTTTTAGGGGTCGCTACGCCAGATCATCTTCCTCCATCTCATCGTAGCATTCTCTTCTGACACATCAGCACGTTGCATATCTTCTTTTACTGCATCCATGAATCTTCTTTGTGCTCTTTGCTCTTTTACTCCTGTGTGACAGCTCCATATATTCACACCCTTCCTCTGCACATGTCCATACAATCTCAGCCTTGCCTCTTTAACTTCACCTCCAACCACTCAACCTGACCTGTTCCTTTGGTGCACTTATTTCTAATCCCATCTCTCCAAGTCACTCCCAGTGGAAATTCTCCTATTCTCACACATCACGCCTGACACTCATTTCCACCCAGTCCACCCACCCTACGCTCTTTTTTCCACCTCT